ATGCGCTTTCCTCTTAGCTTGATTCTCAAAGGCTAATACTGGACATAGCGATGAGTCCCCTTGAAAAGCAAAAATGAGGGGCCAGCACTGTAGCAAAGAAGAGTAAGTCATGACTGAGGATGGCAGCTCTCCAAACCAGAGGCGCAGTCCAAGCCCCGGCATTCCTGCTCACGCACCTTGGCAGGCAGCAAACCCTACCACCCATGTGGGAGACCAGGATGGAGTGCCTGGCACCTCACTTTAAACTGATGCACCCCACTAGAGCCATTTGGCAAATGAACTAGAACACAGAAGAAACTTGTCTTTCTCACTCTTGCTCTTTCTCAATTGTACCTTTCAAATGAATGCTTAAACAAATACATCTCTTCTTTCTTTAAAAAAAATTCTCTTTCTGAAATGACAACATTGCAGATCTGGAATACATCCCAAGAAAAAATGCCACATGCTCACAGGGCATGGGAGGAATGCCAGGATGACTCACAAGCTGAGCTCCTCTGCATTATGAAGGCAGTACTTTAATAAGCCTCATCATAACAGTGATAGGCACAATTTGCCGGACAGATCCAATCAATGGCAGCGTTAAGCCAGTTTGTGGTTGTCCGTCATCTCAATTATTTTCTACTGACTTAAATTCTTATGGAAGATACTTCTAAGGCTTGAGAAATTATTTTTAAAATTCCCTGATGTACCTTTCTGGAGTTAAATCATAGATCTTATTGCTACTGCACTCCATTGCTCATTTCTCAAATTCCTTCTTAGAAACGACTTGTTACCAGCCTTCCTCAATTTTCTAATAAAATATAACAGTTCATGCCATTCTAATCTCTTCTAACACTCCATCTTCGTCACCCTCTCATATCTCCTGATGTCCAGACAAGAGGACAGGCAGATGGGGAAGCTCCTATCTCCAGGCTGTGGACAATCCATCTCTCTTTCATTCATTATTGTACTCTTTGGTTCTACCACTTTTTTAAAAGGACACATCTGCATTTCAAGAATCAATGTTCAATTTAACTTTCTATGCAGTATAAGTCACCACTTTGAAAACAGTGAAGAAAACGTGTTTCTGGTTTTAAAGTTATTTTAAACCACAGCCACCTGTGACACAGGAATCCGTATGGGTGCCGGTTCATGTCCCAGCTGCTCCACTTTCGATTCAGCTCTCTGTGAATAGCCTGGAGGCAAGCAACTGAGAAAAGCAGCTGAAGATGGTTCAAATGTTTGGACCCCTGACACTAACGCAGGAAACCTAGATGAAGTTTCTGGTTGTTCACTTTGGCCTGGCCGAGTGAAAGTTGTTGCAGCCATCTGGAGAGTGAACCAGTAAATGGAAGATCTCTCTCTCTCTCTCTCTCTCTCTCTCTCCCCCTCTATCCCTCTGTCCTCCCTTCCCTTCCCCCATCTCTATAACTCTCACTTTCAAAATATATAAATAAAATTTCAAAAAAGAACAGTTTTAACATATATTTTCAGGTAAAATAATTAGCTATACATCATCCTAACAAAAGAATTTATAAGCACTCAGAAAATGTAAAGTTGTAAGCTTTAAAGAACTCACCACTTCTGTTCATTATTTCTTAATATGAATGTGTTATTATAAGACGAGCAATTTTTCTGAATGTAAAGACAGAATTATGTTCACAAGACTATCATATTTTAGCAGTTGTAATTTTAATTCAGAAATTTATTTCCACTAACAAAACAAATTTTAGTTCAGAGTCATCATACCATCAAGTCTAGCATGGACCAATCGCTTCAGAAGGACAGCAGACAAGAAAAACCCTGCTATGAGAAAAACCTGGTTTACACATCTAAATAAGTCTCTTCTAAATGTCCTCACAAACTTAAGTTAGTCTCCTCTGCCCAGAGGCACTGGACATGTTTCTGAATTAATTTCCACCTGGAAACTCAAGGGATGGAAATCCTAACTGTGTGATAAATTAAGTTGCCAAGCAAAATGGATTAGCGATCAGTGAAATTGCCTGATAAGCTGTCAGATCTATTTAGGATTGGGATGCATTCTCTTTCCCCACCTGTTCATTAAGCTCCAAGTTCACGGCAACTCTAATGACTGCACACTGGCAAGCTGTTTATTGGGAGGGATGCACTAACCTAGTCAACACTCCTATACTTAAACATTCACTTAAACATAATTCCAACTTATTCTGCCCATAATTCCAGTGCAGAAAATACACCTCTAACTCCGAAGTTTAAGTGTGTACATAACAGACACGTAATGTGTCATAAAGTTTAAACAAAGCAGATCAGATTGCAATTCAAAATCAAAAGAGGCCTAGGAAAATGTCATATCATAATCTTCTCCAAAGTTATAACAATTAAAATGAGTAGTAAGAAAAGTTGCTTCCTTTGCACTGATAGCATGTCAAAATAAAATACTTATTTTATCTTTATTCCAAACAGTTCTTCTATAAATAAAAAGGTAAACTAAATAACGATACCGAAAAATAACTCTCTTTGTTTCTCATCAAAAGGGATAGTTTCCTTTACACAGGCCCAAGCATAACAAATTACTGCAAAACAAAAAAACACCAGATTTGGGCTACAAATAAGGATACTGCTTGCACTCAAATACAGATACACACACAAATCATATATATATATGATTCATGGCAGAACCACAAAACTACAATTCCTACATTTGATAAGAATTTTAAAACAGCCTTGAAACATATTCCTTCTGGTAGGAGACATGGGCAGGCACTTCGCTAAAGAAGAGATAGAAGCCACTAAATATATGTAAAGATATTCAAAGTCATTAGTTCTTAGCTACCAAGATACCAATGTGTAAGTACTAAAACCGCTAAAACAAAAATGTACATGTGATAATAAATGCTGCCAAGGCTATTAAAAAAATTGGATCTTTTATACATAATTGGTTGGAAAGAGCCACCATGGAAAGTGGCTTGGTGATTTGTCGACACGCACTTACCATGACTCAGCAATCCAAGGTGCTGATCTCAGAGAAATGACAACGTAAGGACATGTGGAAATCGATACATTAAGGAATGCCCCCAGCAGTTTTACTGGGAATAGGTAAATACTAAAGCTAATATACTCCAACAAGTGAATGGTTGAACAAATTCTGATACATCTGTACAGTGGACTGACACTCAGCAAAGAAGACGGGAAAGAACTACCATCGATACATGTAACAATCCGAATGGAACTCGAGAGCATCATGTTAAATGAAAATAATCAATCTAAAAAGGTAACATATACCATTATCCCATTTACATGGCATTCATTTTAATTAATCATATCACTTACATGACTTTGATTGAAATCATAATTGTATTTATTTATGGAATATAGTGATGTTTCGATACATGCATAGAATGCAGTCTGATTAAATAAAATTGTTTGCTATAACTGTCACCTTGCTTACCTATCATTTTTATGGTGAGCTATTTAAAATTTACTCCCAGTTATTTTGAAACACACAAAATGCATTATCACTGACTACAGTCCCGCTGTGCAGTATATTTAAACACATATTCCACCTGAATATCCAAATCTTTTTGTCCTTTGATCAAAACTCCCTATTCCCTCCCTTCCTACTCCCCTTGAACGATCCTCATACGCTTTACTTCCATGAAAAACAGATCAATGCGATGCTATCAAACAAAATCTGTAAGTCTAAAGAACCAAAATGAAGAGACAATTCACAAAATGGGAGGTTATTTTCAAACCATACATCCAATAAAGAATGGATGTGTAAAATATATGCCACTCAATCAAGTTAATATCAAGAAAAAAATATGTGTATTTATGTGCTATACACACATATAAGACCTAGGTCAGTATTTCTAAACTTAAGAGTGTTCGAAAGACACTTGTTACTAGGAAGAAGTCGGAAGTATCAAATCATTTCTTTCACAGCTACACAGACCTAAGAGCCCAGCAGAGCACTGTGGTTATGCAGAAGGAATGCTGACGGAAGGGAATGTGGCAGAAAGTGACGACCAAGCCTCTTTGGCACGTGGGCCAGCTGGCGTGCCTCCTGCCCTGTCATCAGAGGCAGCGCGGGAGCTTCCTGTCGTGGTGCCTTGCTCACCTAAAGGTTAACAGCTGTTCCTCTCCTTCCACACCAGGCAAACACACTGTATACCAGCAAGCTGTGCACGAGAGACATTACGCTGCTCATTTGGCATCCATTTCTATCTACCAGGAACTCGGGAAAGCTGTCCTCATGAGCTACAGAACACGGCCATGGTACAAGGCACAGGCAGCACCATGGACTGAAGCTGCCAACTGACACTTGGAAGTGAAGCAAATGACTACCTTACTATTATCACACACAGGTACATTATGTGGCAGCTATGAAGAGTCACACACTCACACACACATACACAGGGAAAAGCAAGACAGAATACAAAAAGGATAGTTAATGATATATTTTCTGCTTACGACAACTTCCTTTTATTTCACTAACAAGATATCTGAATAAAGACTCCCTTAAATAGCATGCCGTTATACTTTCTCAAAGTAAAACTGGGAAAACTGGATAATTATTTAAAGCACATCTGCTAAAATGAAGTATTACATAATGAAAAATGAAACTCTGAAAATAAACAATTGAAATTTTGAAATCACAGACACAATTTCTTTATATTTTACTTTTATCTGGTATAGTTCACTCATCTCTTTACAGCATTCGAAAGAAATTCAGAACTTGAAGGACCTGCGGTTATGTTAGCCAATTATTAACTCCAGCATAACATTAGCTAGTAAGTTTCATTACAAAAACTCAGTGCAACAACTTTCACATTTCCCACTAGAGGGCAGTGTTGACAGCATATGAATTGCAAGAATGTGTCAAAGAAATCCTCAATGCTTTCAATCAAGAAGGCAAATACGTAACACATTTCTAGACCAGGAGCAACTTTTGCTTGAATTATTTACAATGTTATTCATGAAAAAATATTTAAATTAATAAATACTCATGTAACAATCAAAGCATAGAAAAATCAATCACTTACCCGCATTGACAATAGCATCTATCTCCAGCAACGTGATGTCACCTCTGTAGAGAGACACTTTTTCACTCAAATTCACCTTCACTTGTGATGCTTCCTGAGTATTCTCTTCTGTAATAAAAAGTGACCCACATTAATAGGAGCGTTCCTACTTTCTTCAAAGCAACTTAGTAATCTAGGACCACAAAATCAATGTGGGCGATATTCTCACATCAGACAAACAAAATAAGTATGCAAGGACCAGTGTTATGGTTTAGCTTCTAATAACTTTGCATTTTTTAATCCAAATGCACTCACTATTCCAACTAAAAAAAAATATTCATTCTGAAACCCAATTATATACTACTGCAGTCATAAGGAGATAACAAAGATGCAGCATAAAGATAAAATAAATTCTCACATGGCTGAAACTTATGCATATTTTATTTGTTCCCTAAAAAGCATCCTTGAAGAAAATATTTAATTGAGCACAAAAATATTAAAATTCAGCATTTTTGCTACTCTTATCTCTCAGGATGGAATATACCAAGAATATCTGAATTTATGAAACTTTCTTGTCAAATTCTCAGAGGCTGCTAGATTAGAAAATAGAAATAACTCCACTTCACACAACAGCCAGAAAGTTATTATGTTGAAAATAAACCAAAATAAGCATATTAAAATACTACATATGTTAAGTGTTTTACGGCAATAGTATAAATTTAAATTTTCAATTATTCTTAACAAGTTGTAATATCAAAAGGCAGTTAAACATAAACAAAGCTGTATAATCATGCTTTAAGATATACTAAAGTGCAATGCATAAAAAGTTCTTTTATTGGAAAGTCAGATATAGAGAGGAAGAGAAACAGAGAGAAAGATTTTCCATACAAAAATTCACTCCCCAAGTGGCTACAATGGCTGGAGCTGAGCTGATCCAAAGCTAGGAGCTAGGAGCTTCTTCCAGGTCTCCCATGCAGGTACAGGGTCCCAAGGCTCTGGGCTGTCCTTTACTGCTTTCCCAGGCCACAAGCAGGGAGCAGGATGGAAAGTAGGACTGACGGGATTAGAACCAGCGCCCATATGGGATCCCAGTGTGCTCAAGGCAACGACTTTAGCCACTAGGCTACCATTCTGGGCCCATAAAAAGCTTTTTAAAATATTTCTATGGGTGTTGATTTAAAAGATTAAACCTCATAAGGTGTTTATAATTGATGCAAGCCTCTTGTGGAGAAAGACAATGCTATTCATTCAAGAAACTCTCCAATGAGCATGAAGTTTCATAGTACCTGTGTCATTACAGGTAATATGCTATGAGGCACCTAAATTGTCCTCCAGCCTCAATAACTACATGAAGAAATGAGCCTAGACTAAGAAAATAACCTGTGGCTACAAAAGTAGCCATTCTTCTGCCTCTGTTCAAACCTTATTCTGCCCATCAACAGCTGTACTCTTCATGGCCATGCCTCAGTCTGTAAAATACTGTCTCCCTCACAGTTAACATGAATCCCACTACAGTTAGAACAATATCTGCTCCATTAATAATGTTTGCCCTATCAAAAACAAAACAAAAACCACTGGAACAGGTATTGCAGTCCAGACTGCTAAATCAGTGTTTGCAACACCTGTAACCCATGTGTTATAGCTGACTTTCTGGATTAACGGCTCAGCTCCTCCACCCATGATCCCACTGCCTGCCATACACCTAATAACGATTTTAGTATCTACATTCATTAGACATGAACTATAATAACTATATTTTAGTATGTATGATCTTGAATGAAGTATAAACATGTTTGTCATCATTCAGTATCAACAATAATGTTTACAGTCTGTGCTCTTTCTAAACTGTCAACATTTAATCCCATGACAAAGACTTTAAGCTGAGCAAGACCGTGAGTTCCACTGGGCTCCAATCAGCCTAACCATTCTCATTGCTTTAGCCAAATTAGAAAGCCATGATCCTTAGCTGAAGATGAACAGAAATAAAACTAAAATTTAAAAAAAAATTTAAATTCTTCCACAAAAATTTTGTGGCTTATCAGGAATTTCTGAATAGCTGGACTGTTGTGAACCCAGAAATTACAAAAGTTTCTGCATTAGAGATGTCTTTGAGAACTGTATTTCATATTAAATTGCCAAGTATATCACAAATGAAAGTAGAAAGTACAATTTCTGTAATATTATTTCACTCCTGTCAGGATGGTCAATATCAAAAAATAGTAACACCCCAGCTGTAGGCAACTGCCTAGGTTGCATTGTACCTAGGCAAGTGTTACTGCTAAGACAAAAGCAGCCAATAGCTGGTGGGCATCCTGAGCCTGGTTAATGCCAACTTTGTATTAACTATACCTGTACACCAGCCAATGGTCTGGAACTCACACATGAGCATGCCAGTGTAGGCAGGCAGGGCCCCAGGCTGGCATGACACATCACCAGAGTACTGGGCTTGGGGATCTGTGCACTAGAGGCATGGAGGGCTGTGGATCACTCAGAAAAGCAGGTCTGCAGATATATGGGAGGGAGGACTACTGACAGAGAATGTGACAGGTGAGGGGTGACTTCTAGGGAACTTCCAATACCCTACCACTATATTTGCAGATAAATGAGGGCGGTGAGACCAGGTAGCTTAAAAGATTTATTTATTTTTACTGGCAAGGCAGATTTACAAAAAGAAGGAGAAATAGAAAGATCTTCCATCTGCTGGTTCACTCCTGAAGTGTTCACACCTGTGGGAGATGAGCCAATTTGAAGCCAGGAGCCAGAAGCTTTTTCTAGGTTTGCTGAGAGCTGGGACTGGGGGGTCGACCACACTGAGCTAAGTGACCATAATCACTGGTGCATGCATGAACCAGAATAAATGCAGGATGATTGAGCTTTGCTATAGCATCAGCTAGCAGGTGCTGAGACCAAGTCCTGTCAAGCTAAACCACAGAACCATCTGGAAAGTGCAAGATACTGCACTGGGGATGGGCATACTAGAGAAATTGTGGGCATCCCTCTAATGGGTTGCAGGTCCCACTGGTGAGCACAAGAAGCAAGAATGGGGATGGGGCTGGCTGGACAGGAACTAGTACCCCCCAGCATGAGTGTGTGCTGGATAGTGGGGTTGGCTGGATTGATCTAGGCTACAACACCCAATGTATTAGGGCCAAATGGGATATGGAACAGACTGGACCACTCTGCTGCACACACCTGCATGCACAGTGACCAGGGCTGGGGGCAAGCCTAATGGGGATTATTAGGGGTCTCTCCGATTGGGTTACAGTTCCTGCTAGTGTATATAAGGATCAAGTGTGTGGTGGGCAGGAATAGGCTGTGCCACAGCATCCATTAGTTTGCATATGAGATGAGGCTGGGGACAGAATTGACCAGGTGACTACGGCCACCAGAGTGTAGCTGTAGGCTGATGTGGGTGATGGACTGAATTGGAGCCTGCAATGGCTGGCACACACAGGAGTCAGGTCTGGGGTCACCTCTGGTGAGGGTTCTTTGGCGACCTCTTCAACTGGATCATTGGAATCAGAACTCCAACCACAGTGAAAATCAGGATTGTGCAGTTCATGTGTCAGAACTGGGTTCCCACAGCTGCTGAGGCCTGTGCAGTGGATGACATGCACAGATGCTCATGGAGAACACGACAGTCAGTTCGTTGAGGCCTATAGAGGTCATCTAGTACCACAGCAGAGAATAGAGAGCAGAACAAATTGGACAGCTCAACCAATCAAGCTTTGACAGCAAATATCTGGGCAAATCAAGACTCTCAGGTCGACCATGTTGCCAAGCAGATCTTGTGACAATAGTGGACAACAGTTTGATCACAGCTTTCCTATGCAAAAAAGAAATTCTCTACGTCACCTCCCATTTTGATTCCTTTCTAGAAAATGGTATTTGATTTCATTAAAATTGACCTGATGATTTCTTTTAATAGCTTCACTGACAATGTAATTTTAATCATTGTTTTCCTTTATTTTATAGGGAAAATGAAGACAATTGTGAATTATATCTCATATACCAGCATTCTATAGAAGACACACAAATTTCATGAATACACAGCTTCACATTTTCATACCTTTATAATACAGTTATTCAATACAGCAAAAGAACATTAAACCCAAATATATTTGGCTTGTTTATACCATATGAATTCAAAATATTAATTTAAACTTATATTCAAATAAATATGCATAATTGTTTAAGTAATTTATATCACATTAAAATGATCTAAAGTTTAATAAATATTGACTATTTAGCATAGATCTAAAGTTATAAGTTACTAATAGTGCCTGTAAGCTATTTCCAGGCAAGCATAATGAAACATTAAACAAAGCTAACCATCACCTCAAGTTATTTCCCTTTTAAGTATTTTTATGTCACACTCATGGTTAGGCAAATACCATTAAAGTAAAAATCCAAAAAAGTGAAGCAGTTTTACTGCAGTGCTTATTTTCAACAAATAATGGCTATCAAACAATTGCTTTTCATTGCATCTGATACATTTTTTTCTTAGGCTGAATTCATAATTTTTATGTTTTACATCTATTAGATGTTATATGAGTTTACTTGACTACTAAAGTTAGTACAATACAAGCATGAAGTGTGCTCGTGTTATAACGGTGATAACACAGAAGAAATACCCCCTACTATAAAACCAACAATATCATGTTAACTTTACTTGGAAAAGTCATAAAAGCTCTAAAGAGTACTCAAAGTGCTAAAAATCATTTGGGTTAATTTTTACATTTCTGAGAATTTGGAAAAATATTTATATCCTGTAAGTGCTCATTTATATCCAAGCCAATTTGAAAAGAGCTCTTTTACATATTTTACAAGTTGGTAGCAACAAAGGCAGAAAATGTAACATATACACAGCTTATATCTGCATGTACATGAAAACAGACATAGATACCTGACAGATTTTATTAGAAAATTATAGTCACAAGCCAAGTAAACACAATATTCTATATTTTTATCAATATTTCTGGAATACAAGTTAGATTTGCCTTTTCAGTATGAAAGTTAATGTTTTGTGTTAACACTTGTATAGAGAAAAATTCTGAGAATTTTTTTTTCCTGGACATGTAATCTTACATAGGCTGTGGACTATATTTTAGGAAACAGAATCACTGAAA